AGCTGATATGCCTGCCCTCCCACAACTCTTGGACCTGGTCTCCTTCTTGATCCATCCTAGGTAAACCCCATTTTGGAGTGATCCTTGACCCAGATATGTGCCAATAGCAACCTTGGATATTGGAGCTTGCTACTACTTCTCAGAATCTGCTAGAAGTGTGTGGGTGTGCTAGAGTATGCCGGCGTCTGGCTCCACAGCCCTGAACTCCTCCCTACCAGTAGATCCCTCCCTGAGTCACCTGTCCAGGATGTGTCAACAAGCAGCAAGGGAAGAAAGTGTCCCGCCAGCCTTCTGCGGAAGCCAGGGCAGGGTGCCAAAACAAATGGACATAGGGAACACACTCTCTGAAGAAGAACTTGCCACGAGAGAAAGTCTTATGCTCTCCACGCAGCAAGGGGCACCCACATGTGACTTCGCCCAGGCAGGAAAGGACCTTCGGGACTCCCTCTTCAAGAGTCCAGTCTACCTGCCTCAGCCCTCAGTACCCGAGTCTGACAGGACACCTCACTAACAAGGCCGGAACGGAGCAGGCTGATGGCCAAGGTCAACTGTTCTGCACAAGTGTGAAGCTGGCAGAGCATGAGGCCTGCCATGTGCTTCCTCCTGTGGCCACAGGAGAAGTCACCTGAAAGAAGCCATTCAGAGCAGCTGAGGGGCGGGGGACAAAGCCCAGAGGGTGACTCTAAAGTCCCAGCGGGGAAAACCCTGCTTATGACAAGGGCTCTAAAAGAGTCAGTTTGCCTGGCTCTGAACCCTGCCTCCACCATCGCCAAGCGAAGAGACAGAGGAGGAAGGACCAAGTGGACAGAGAGTGTCCTCCCTCTTCCCCATCTAAGTTTGCTGCAAAACAGAAAAGAGGCTTTATTCCATAGAGTGTGTTGAAGCTTCGGCCAAGAAATAGCCAGAAAGTCCCTAGGACGCACCTGTGACATCCTGGGCACGGTTGTCATGAGGACCATCTGAGTGGCAGGATTTACATTCTCCTCCGTGTTCTCCCTGCCACCACAAAGTGACATAGTTTGGACAGTACTCCATAAAGTTGCCTTGTCCTTGTACTCATTATGTCGACCTGGCTATCCATCTGCTTCCTGCGCGACAGGGACCCCAGCTTTCTAACATGCATGTCCCCAGAGACGGCTCTGCAGCTGTCCACATCATGAACTCTCTTAAGTCTTGCTTCTTTTTCCTCCCCACTTGGCCTTTCCTTCTGCTCCCACAGTCACTCATTTTGGGCTTCTCCTCCGTCTGTGCTGTGGGCTCTGCGAGTCCATGCGCATGCTTTGTCTTTCTGGGGCTTCCTGATCCCATACACTCAAACAGACCAGGTTGAAGCTCTCTCAGTAAACTGGCTTGTCAAACTACTCTTAGAAGAAACAAGACTGTGGGAGGTCAAAGAAGTGATATGAACACTGGAAAGACGATGTACTGTGGGGTGTGTATGTGTGTGTGTGTGTGGTGTGTGTGTGTGTGTGTGTGTGTGGTGTATGTGTGTATGGTGTATGTGTGTGTATGTGTGTGTGTGTGTGTATGTGTAGTGTGTGTGTGGTGTGTGTGTGTGTATGTGTGTGTGTATGTGTGGTGTGTGTGTGGTGTATGTGTGTGTATGTGTGGTGTGTGTGTGTATGTGTGGTGTGTGTGTGTGTGTGTGTATGTGTGGTGTGTGTGTGTGTGTGTGTATGTGTGGTGTGTGTGGTGTGTGTGTATGTGTGGTGTGTGTGGTGTGTGTATGTGTGTGTGTGGTGTGTGTATGTGTGTGTGTGTGTGTGTATGTGTGTGTATGTGTGTGTGGTGTGTGTGTGTATGTGTGTGTATGTGTGTGTGTGTGTGTGTGTGTGTGTGTGTGTGTGTGTGGTGTGTGTGTATGTATGTGTGGTGTGTGTGTGTGTGTGTGTGTGTGGTGTGTGTGTGTGTGGTGTGTGTATGTGTGTGTGGTGTGTGTGTGTATGTATGTGTGGTGTATGTGTGGTGTGTGTGGTGTGTGTGTATGTGTGGTGTGTGTGGTGTGTGTGTGTGTGGTGTGTGTGTATGTGTATGTGGTGTGTGTGTATGTATGTGTGGTGTATGTGTGTGTGTGTGTATGCGTGGTGTGTGTGTGTGTGTGTATGTGTGGTGTGTGTGTATGTATGTGTGGTGTGTGTGTGTGTATGTGTGTGTGGTGTGTGTCTGTTTATGAGCTGAAGAAAAGAGGACACCAGCTGTAAGTGGTCCCCCTGGTGCTGGAGCTGTCTGCTCACTGCCCTGGGCTGTGTGGTGGCCTGCAGGCTGCTGTCTATCTAACACAGTCATCTGCCTGTGGAGGAGGAGAAGGCAAAACCTGAGAGCTGGAAGCCACAGGGTCTAGACCCATTTCTGTCAGTCATTGACAACTGACCAAAGACCAGCTCTCTAAACTTTCAGTTTCCCCATCTGTCCTTCTGGTCAATGCTGTGACTCTGCTCCGCTGCTCACACAGTAACTCCTAATATTCTGCAACCGTATATCTAGTCCTTTTATAGGGCAACATTGGAGGGAACCAGGCTCTGGAAAACTATGATAAACAGAAGTAATTCTCCCTAAGGAATCCGCTGAGCACTGTAATCTTTCTGTGTGGAGAAAAGCAAAGGGTGCTGGGTACTCGATGACTAACGCTGAGTCCCCAGACACTCTACCTGACACCCTCACCCCCTGCCAACCTTCTCCAGGCCACCATGCCAGTGCCCCAGCAGCCTGCAGGCTCCCAACAGCAAGCCATGCAACTGTCGCAAGCGTTCCCTGAGTTCTTGTCCCAAGGCTGGGCTTGCCTACAGGCTGGGCTGACAAGCTGACCCGGCTCCCTCTGTACCCAAGACTGGGATCGAGTCTTTATCTTCTCAGATCTCCTTCCTTCCTAATTCCTTTCTTTTTCTTTTCTTTTCTTTAACATTTAAGCATGTATGTGGACAGAAAATAAATTTCAGGAGTTAGTTCCCTTCTTCTGCCACATAGGTTTCAGAGATGGAATTCAGGACACCAGGCTCAACAGCAAGTGCTTTCACCTTTGGAAACATCTCACACGCTCCCCCTCACCGCTCCTAGTCTTAAGTGTCTGGGTCCTGACACGCTGTCACTGACTTACTTGGTTACTGGAGTGGGTCTCAGATCCCTGTCTCCACGTGTTTGCCATGTGACCTCGAACAAACTGCTTAACCTTTTATGACTCTTAGATTCTTCTCCTACAGTATGGGGCAATGCTGATGTAAGGGGGTTGTTGTTGGGACGATTAAACAGGGTTATTGAGTCCCATCTACCACTTTCACATCTCTGATGGTGCACAGTGCCTTACTCTGCATTCCCACCAGCCCTGCTCAGTTCACACAGTCACCTTCCCAGGTCTCTTGTCACCTCAAGGAGCAGTGGCTTCCATCTAGAATGGCCACAGATGCCATGTGTTTCTGAGCCCAGGACCATAGGACTTATCACAGAACTCAGATTCCCTGGACACTCAAGACCCCCTGCTCCCTACCCCGTGCCCTCTGCCCTCTGCCCCTGCCCTCTGCCCTCTGCCCCAGCCAATGCACAGCACTTGTCATTACTTCTCCTGGTTCCTCAGCACAACCTCCAAGACTTAACTCAGGTGCCCCTCTCCCTGAAGCATCCAGACTCAGCCTCCTCCTCAAGATCTGGACTAAGGACCATATCCAGCTTGTCATGCCAGTCCCACACTTTCCAGAAGGAGCGGCCCTCCCTCCTCTAGATGCCCCTCCCACTTGCGTGCGAGCGCGTGCACATGCGCATGCACACACAAACACACAGAACTTGTTCTGTTGCTAAAGTGCTTGCCATCCAAGCATGAGGACCTGACTTCCAGCCTCAGCACTCATGTAAAAACAGACAGACAGGCATGCTGGCATTTGCAGTCTCAGCCTTGGGGAGCATTCACAGTATAATATCACCTCGAGGCCAAGGGACCTCAGAGGTCACATCTCTGTTTCAGCATCCCCAAACAAAAATTTGTGACTGTTACCCAGGAAGACATGCATGTTCATTCCACCGGAAGAAGGTCATGAACCTGGGCCCTCAAACCAAACTCTTGTCTTCATACGGGACAGCTGTCCTGGCTGCACACTGCACTGGCTTCTTCCAGAGACGGGGGACTTACCACCTTATGTGCCAGTCAGTTTCTCCCTCCTGACCTGTCACCTCTGTGTCACCCACTCATTGACACTTCCAGCCTGACAAAGTCAAAGGCTAAAGCTTTAGGGATTCCTGATTTCCTCCATAGAGGCAAATGGCAAATCCCACCCTGGGACTCTGAAGTTTGAGGCTAGACATATGGATGCTGAGACTTTGCCACAATCAAGGGTAGAAGTCACCATATTCTGGTACACCAGGGTGTGGTGCACCTGTGTGTGCTCACACGCACACACACACACACCCCTGGGCCAGAGGCAGCTCAGGCCCCCTGAGTCACATAGTCAGACCACAGCGGGAGGAAACTAAGCCCCAGGAGCCACCCACTGTCTGACCTCTCCCTCTACTCTAGAAAGTTCTCTTTCTCTTTTCCCTTCCCTTCTCTCCTCTTCTTTCCTTTCCTTTCCTTTCCTTTTCTTCCCCCGTCTTTTTTTAGCTGTCTCTGAGGTTTTCAGCCCTGTGCCGGCCCACGTGGGCTCCCAGCACCTCCTCCAGTCAGGCAGCGGTGTGGGTTTCTAGTCACTTTATCACTCTGAGCCTCTGGTTCCTCTGTAAAGCAGAGTCTGGGGATGTCTGGAGGGTTCCCCGGGGGTTCTTTCTAAACCCTAGTGCTCCTGGGTTCCTATAATTCCTCTTTAGAGTGCAAGGCAGAAAGTCTAACTGGGTGAAAGGAGTCGAACCAGTCCTGGGGAAGTCAAGGCTGAGGTGCCTGTCTCTGTGGCAATGCAGCCCGGGGCCAGCCTTTCCCGTGATCTCCATGGGCTTCACTGCTCAGCAGGAAGGAAACGACTTGGCCTCTGAACCCAGCAGAGGGGCCGGGGCAAGGCCTCCCAAGACCTTCCTCCCTTTACCTGGCTGGGTGTCTAGTGCATGTGTCCAAGCTGTCCCCTGCCTTCTTGACTCACAGCTGTCGGAAATCCACCGGCCAGTCGGACCTGTCCCACTGTCCCTTCCCCGCCACCAGGCTGCGAGCCTGGTCCAGTCCTAGCAGCTCTTGGCTCCACAGGCTCCAGGATCTGTACCACGGTGGGGTCCCAGCCCAGAAAAGTAACGTGTGACTGCCACTGCCTGCAGCCTAGGTGGCGAAGGCGGGGCCACTGCTGATAGCGTAGAGCCCTGGGCTTCCTGTGCCCTCCCTCAGCTAGTCCTTCAAGGGCTCTTGCTCAAGGAGCCAGGGGGTTCTGTCTCCAGAGCCTCTCTTAGCACAAAAAGCCAGGCTCCAGTCTGAGCTTTGTGAACTCACAGAACAAAGCACTTTCACTGCTGAAAAACCAGCTCCAGCTGCTTTCTCTGCACATAGAAACCGAAGGGATTTTGTTCTTGATGCTTGCCTGCCTTTCTTATGTATTCTACAGTGGACTAGAATACTTGTATAATTAAATCCCATGCAACGAGTGCTTTTTAACAAAGCACTCAGTGAATCTTCAAAGGCTTCCATGCTAAAGGATAACCCCTCAGCCTGGTCCACAAGGTTCCCTGAACTCTCCCAAGCCACAAGCTCGTCTTCCAGCCTCCACCCTGGTGACGCTCAAACACACAATGCAGCACTAGGAATGCTACCTGTTGCAAACACTGCTTGCCCTTTCTGGCTGTAGAGACCTCTGTCTTTGCCTAGAATGCCCCTCTGCTTCCTTCTCTTCGTGTTGGAATCCTGCTCATCCAGGCTCCCTGAAATGCCAACTTGAAGCCCTTTTCCAGATACCTCCCTCAGTAGAAGGCTTAGTCCCTTCTAGGTGTTCTCCCCTAGCAAGTTTATACATTAGTACCCCTGCTCTGCACACATAAAAACACACTCTAAACCCAGATCACAAACAGACAGAAACACACACTCTTTGGCACAAATTACCACAATCTATCCTTTCTTTTTGCAGCCAATCAGCGGCTAGCTCACCGTCCCCTATCTCAGGAGTTTCAGAAGTGACCAGCATCCTCTAACCCCTTCCTTTGCCTTCCTTGGAATCTCTCCCTCTATGCTCTGACTTCCTCTTCCATGTTCTGGAGTGTGTCTGTTTGTTGGCCCCCAGTGTTGGGAAGGGGCGATATGACATATAAGTGTGAGGGTTGGACAGCTAGGTAGCAAACCTGAGTCTCTAGGTTGTGCCAAATGGATAGTTTGCTCTTGTTTATCAGCTATACCTAAAAAGGAGGCCCTTTCTTCATCAGAACCCAAGACAAGAAGTGACTGCAAAGCCATCTCATTCCCATTCTATAAAGAAAACTGAGGCCGAGATATCAAGTCAGAAGCACCTAAGGCCATGGTCATCCTTGTGATTAACACTCCGTACTTTGCAGGGCTGGGTTGCCTTCCATGTGTACAGCCATCCCACCGGATGGCAGTCATTCACCTCTCAGTTTCATGAGATTTTAGTTGGTTAATTGGTAAAGACTCTAGCAGTCAAGAGCACAGACTGAAGCCCACAGATGTGAGCTCCGTCTTGGCAGCTACAACCTTGGCAAGTTATTGAACCTCTTGTCAGGGGATGGCTAACAGGGCAGTAGTTTCTTCATCATGGACTTTCTGATCCAGTGTCTAAAGCTCAGGACACATCACGGAAGGGAAGAGGGATTGGAAGAGCCAGAGGACCAGGATGTCTGCTGCAAAACATTCTCTTCTATATATGACAGGAATCTGCATCCATGGTCACCCAAACAAGGCGGCACAATGACATCAGTTGACATCCCAACATGGATGTAGGCAGCCTCACAAGGCCCTACCCATAGATAAAGAGCTACAGGCAATTAATATCTATAGAGATAGGGAAAATGAGTCTTCTTTAAGACAAGTTCCCTGATATGTTACCTATCCAACACCAAGTGGTCAGTCCTAAACACATGAACATGTAAACAGCACTGAATGAACTCAGCAGGTTGTATTTATATGTATGTGTGTGTGTGTGTGGATAAGTGCACTATACAACAATAATCAAAGAAGACTCGGTCATAAGTCGAGAGGGACTTTTGGGGACATGAGAAGAGCTGGAGTAGAAGGAGTGTGGGGTGGAAAAGATTAAATATAGTCTTCATGTATAAAAATCCTAAAAGTAAAAATAAAATAAATGTTAAAGAGGGTGTTTTAGGCATCCCAGCAAATGTCTTTTAAGAGGGTTTAGAATGGTAGCTGGTCTAGAAGAAAATGTCAAGTTCTCCTTTCTTGCTGGTGACTTTTGTCATGGTCAGTTATCGCCTCCCAGGTGGAATAACAGGCTTAGACTGGCTGTGACTAGTTGATGTCATCTAGGTCTACAGGAACATGTTCAGTTTTCTCTGCCAATTAAAAAAAGGACTCTCCGGGAGTCCCAGCAGAGCCACCATGCAACACTGGGGAAACTAGGAGTCCCTTCCTGGGGTTCTTCGTCTCCCCTCTAAGAGAATTTAAAAGTGACATAAACAGAAACTTGAGGACAGTTTATCGCAGTGCGTAGGAAAGCTCCAGGGCAGGCAAGCTGTAAATGTTGCAGTTGCCCAGAAGAAAATGGAGACTGTAAGCTGCCATAGTGGTCGGCTACATGGCAGCAGGAAGCCCATGGCTGGGGAGGGGCAGCTTTAGAAAAAGAGCAAGGAGGTACAAAGCATCCTTGGGTTCTATCAGCATCTGAATGAAAAAAACACAGAAGAGAAGAAAAAGAAGTAGTTACCCTTGAAAGGTGGCAGACCCAGTCAAATGAACGTCAAGTTGGCTTAACTGGTAGGGCCTACAGTGAGGGATAGGAATTCTGGGATGGAAAAATATGTTATCTTAACGTGAACACGCCTTCCTAGGGATGGTCCCCTAACCGGGTCCCTGACTTGTCCCTTTGCATTCTTTACGTACAATAGGGAACTGCTATTCCCTGATTTTTCTCGCCTAATCCCATGTGCTCCTGTATCTGACACCATTCTGCTTCCTGTCCCCTTGGAGCTGTGTCTAGTAGCACTTAGTCTATCTAATGACATCCTGTCTAATAACAGAAACATGGCTGTCATTTGGGGATGTTGGTCTATTCCATCTCATGGACACTTCATGACAAAACACCAACTGTGCCTTTATGGTGATATCTACAATTTGCAGACATGATTCCTTTCTAGAACTTCCCAGAAGCAGCCTGAGAATAAGCCAAAGGTCAGCTGGTGCACTGGACACTCTTTCTCTTCCCACAGCTGAGAAGAGATGGAGGGAAGGTGGCTCACCTGTGTATAGACAGGAAACTGAGATGCAGCAGGGCTGGACCTATGCTATGTATCCGGGCTTGAATGCAAGAAAGATCAGGATCCTTGATTCCCCATTCTCCATGATGATACAGCCTTCATGATCCAAGGTTGACCAACTTTAATGGTTTTTATTCTTTACTTGGTATCCCCTAGGTGGCAAATAAGGCCCAAGCAAGGCCAGCTTTATTGGAGTGTGACCTATGCACTCATATGTAGGGCTTGTAATTAGAAGGACTTGATGCTTGCCGGGCGTTGGTGGCGCACACCTTTAATCCCAGCACTCAGGAGGCAGAGGTAGGTGGATCTCTGTGAGTTCGAGTCCAGCCTGGTTTACAGAGTGAGTTCCAGGACAGCCTCCAAAACAATACAGAGAAACCCTGTCTGGAAAAAAAAAGGACTTGCTTGATCTAATTTTCTGCTATCAATTTCTTGGATGATCTTAATTGTTTTTGAACAATCCTTGTTCCACACTGGACCACGCAAATTAGGTAGCTGATTCTGAGTGTGGCCTTCTCCTTCAAATCATTCAGCATTGCAAGAAGTCTGCCACAGGGCTGACCAGTGCCGTGCAGTATGGGAAGGCAGGAAATGTGGAGTTAGGAGAGGGACCTGGCCATGTAAGACTTATCCAGACAATGCTCTCCAGCTCTGTAACCTTCCCAGCTGCTAGCCAGTCATGCACACTCTCTCTATGTTAGAAGAACAGCCTTGGTTCTTGTCCAGGGGGAAACTGTAGCCCTAAACAGCAACTATAACCCCAACAGCCTTGCAGCCCATGGCCATGTCTTGGCAATAATAGGAATACCCAGAACATGTGTATTCTTGAAGCCCTACTCTTTCAATGTGTCTCTTTCCCTGCCTTCCTTGCTTTTTCAAACTCCTGTTGGCCTATTGTTGTCTCTGCCTAGTCAGACCCAGCCAACTTCAGGAAAAGGACAGTGAAAGTCATCCATGATGAAAAGCAAGTGACAGACAAAGCTAGTGAGCTATTCATGCAAAGGACATGTGGGTGTTTGGGGACGGATTTGCATCCTGCTGACCTACATGCATGACATCTAGCAGGCATTTGAGTCATCAGTTAGTGAGTGCAGAACGGGTAGACGCATGGGGCAAGTCCCGGGAGTCTGAAGGTCAGTCAAGAATAGGGGCTTTGTTGCTTGTCGCTTGTCTTCACTTTTGTTTGGGGGGGGGTGCTGAAAATGATGAGAACCATGGAGAGGCTCTCAGATGTTCCCAGACTGAGGCTAGGAATCTAGTGCAGCAAGAAGGGATGGAGAGGGAGCAAATGCCCGTGACCCAAGGTCAAGAATAGGCAAGAAGGACTAGAGAGCACAGGTGAGGTGGGGGAGCCCTAGATCTCAGAAACTGGGCAGAAAATAATGATGGATGAGCATAGAGAACCAGGTAGTGGAAGTAGGTCGATGGAAATCCTGAATAGTGATTCCTCTCTTCTCTGGGTTACAGGAAACTAGGTAATAGGAAGGGGTTCTGTGTGGACTATCAGAATAAGTGACATTTAGGCACTTGTAGCATAAGCTGTTTTCTCCTCTGGAGTTCAGGAAGGTGTGTCTTAGTCTGATTGGGTTTTTCTGTTTTTGTTGTTGCTGGAACAAAATACCTAAGGCTGGGGGCATTGGCCAGAAAAGAGGCTTATTGGTTCACAGTATTAGAGGCTCAAGAGTCTGCTTAGCTCTGTAAGGGACTCCCAGATACAAAACAATATGGTGAATGGTGTGAGGAGAAATTAAGAGGCCAGGCATGCTCTGTTTTGAACAACCACCTGTCTAGGACTCAAACTGTGGTCTGATGTGAAAGTTACCCTCATTTCTCTATTAGAGGCTCTCCCAATGGATGAGCTAGCAATCTTTCATTGGGCTGTCTCCT